AGTGTGTTTCCCACAGAGTCCTGGGTGCATGGTCCTCCTCTGTGCCAGTGTGGGGGTGGTGGGACCTTTACAATAGATGGGGTCTAGTGCAAGGGAATTAGGTCACCGGGGTGCTGACTTCAGAAGGGATTAATGCAGTTCTTGTGGGAACCAGATGGTTCCCATGAGAGTGGATAACTGGTTATGAAAGTCCAAGACTGGCCCATCCATTTCCTGGTTTCCTGGCTTCCTGTGCGATTGCTCCGTATGCACTTCCACTCTTGCGAATAGATATTGGGTTTTGTCAAATGTTTGTTCTTTATCCACTGAGATGCTCATGGTATTATTCTGTTAAGACAGTGATTTACATGGATTGGTCTTTAGTATTAAACCAATAGAATAGATCCAATGGGGATAATGTGATATGCTTTTTGATATATTGCTGGATTCATTGTGCTATAAAGTAGTCAATAGGTTTTGCATCTATGTTAGGATATGGGCTAAACCTTTTCTTATGACAGCTCTGTCTGATTTTAAGGTCTGAATAATAAATGCTGGCCTCATAAATTAGGGTGGTGAGAATTCTTTCATTAAATTTCTGGAAGTGTTTGTATAGAAGTAGAATTGTTTCTTAGCTCAGCGTCTGGCAGAATTTGCAAATGCCTGGACCTAGAGTTTTCTTGTGGCAAAATTTTACACACAAGTTCAATTCCTTAATAGATATATGCTCACTTCTATTATATTTTCTACTTTATGTTGAGGAAATTTTGATAGTTTATGTCTTTGAAGGAATGAATGCATTGCACCTAAGTTGATGAATTTATTGCCATAAAATTATTCACAATATACTTACTATTATTTTAATAGGATGTATAATGATAACCTTTCCCCCATATTTAGTACTGGTAATTGGTGTCTTCTCTTTACCCTCTATTCAATCTGACTGAAAGTTTTTCAATTTTATTGAACTTTTCAAAAAACCAGCTTCGAAATTGACTGGCAAAAGTTATTCATGACACCAAAAGAATAACACACAAAAATTTTTAAATTGTTAAATTGGACTTCATAAAATTAAGCAATTGGTGGTGGCACTTGCCTGACATTCCAGCTACCTGGGAGAGTGAGGCAGGAGAATCAAGAGTTCAAGTTCAGTGTAGGTAACATAATGAGGGAGAGAGAGAGAGGGAGAGGGGGAGAGAGAGAGAGAGAGAGAGAGAGAGAGAGATGAAAATAGGCGAATGATCTGAATAGACAATTTACTATGGAGAAGTATATCACATAGTTTATATAAAGATGCTGTGTATTTTTAGTCATTAGGGACACTTAAAACCATAATGATGTACCACGAAACAACTACTGTTTTAGAAAGGCTAAAATCAAAACACTAAAAATAACAAGTGCTAGCAAAAATGCAAAGCAACTGAATTACTACATATTACTGATAGGGAAGCAAATTGTTACAGCCACATTGAAAACTTTTTTTTTTTTTGCAAAGTTAAACATATACTTAATATGTATGTGCTCCAGGAATCTTACTCTTAGGTACTTACTCAAGTTAATTGAAAACTTTTGTTTTCAATTGCCAATGTTTCTAGAAATTTTATTAATAATCAATAAAAAATGGAAACAATTCAGATGTCCTTCAGGCAATGAGTGGATAAAAACCTATGCTGTCTACACAATGCAATGCTATTTAGCAATAAAAAGGAATGAATCATTGATTCATACAATATTAAGCAACAACATCACTGTACTCTAAACAGATATTGGTAAATGAGAAAAGTCATTTACAAGAGGCTATGTTTATTCCTTAACATGGCATTCTGGAAAAGGCAAACTATAGGGACAAAATTGCAGTAAGTGGTTGCCAGGGTTGGAGGTCTGGTAAGGGCTGCTCTCCGCTAAGACGGTGGTTTGCAGCTTCACACTCTGGAGGGGATGTTGCTGTGTTCTCACACAGTGGAAGGGACAGAGCAGGAAAAGAGCATGGAAGGGAAAACTCACCTCCTGATCCCTCATATAAAGAGCTAATCCTATCCTTGAGAGTGGAGCCCTTGTTGCTCAATCCCCTTGTGCACACCCTACTTCTTACTGCTGTTTGGATTAAGTCTAAACATGAATTGTGGAAGGGAAGCAAATATCGAGCTAGAGCAGTGGTTGACAGTGGACAAACAGTACACAGAACCTTAGAGAATGAAGATCCAGGCCGTAGATGTGAGTGTATGAATGTGCCCCCCTCCCAGGATCGGGGGGGGGTGCGTCACCTTTGTGACATCCTTCCCCTAAATATATGGCCTTAATCTAACCATGAGAAAGCATCAGTTTGCCTGAACTGTGGGCCACTCTACCAGCTACCTGACAAGTACCCTTAATAAAGTGTCAAGGGCATGAGAGAAAGGAAAGACCAGGAGCCGTCACAGCTGGGGGACTCAGATGACAGAAATGTTATGTGAAATCTCACACTGGATCCTAGAACAGAAGAAGGACATTGGAAGGACCAGTGGAATTCAGATAGGCTCTCTCACAGGGTTTGTTTAGGGTACTGGTGGCAACATTAATTTCTTGGTGTCAATAACTGTACTATGTAGGATTCTATTAATTTCTTGGCGTCAATAACTGTACTATGTAGGATTCTAACAGTGAAGAAAGCTGTCTAAGTCATGTGTGGGAGCTCTCTGTAGTCTCTTCAAGTATAAAATTATTTCAAAATGTGAGATTAACAAAAGATTAAGAAGAGTTACACTATCAAATGAGAGCAATGCTGTGAAAAGAAAGAACTATCTACAGGAGTATACATTTCTGCAAACACCTTGGAAATTGCTTGGTGAAAACCTGCATATCCTGTAATTTAACAGGTATATGCCTAAGTATATATGGTAGAAATTGATATATGTGCACTATATGTATTATGGTTCTCTAGAGAAACAGAAGCAAGAGAAGCAGATGTGTAATTCTGCAAAGGGGTTAGTTAGGCAGGCGGGCAGACTCAGAGGCGGAAGAGTCCATGATAGCCACCTGGACCCTGGAGAGCCAAAGGATTCAGGATCAGCTCAAGCCAAGAAGCTGGAAGCCTCAGAACAGTAGGGGTCAAGGATGCAGAACCTGTCCAGGGCTGAAGGCTGGGAGCTCACTGGAGAGCACTAGGGAGAGTTTGTGTCCGAGGCTGAAGAAACTGGAGACCCGGAGACCGATGTCCAGAAGGCATCAGCAGCAAAGGACGTGCCTGCTCAGAAAGACCACAGCTCATCAAACAGGTCCCACTTCCTTTTTCTTTCCGTTTTTTTTTATTCCATCCAGGTTATACATCCATTGGTTGGTAATACCACAGCCAGGCAGGTCTTTCCCCTCAATTTGCTGTCTTACAAGCCAGCAAGCTATTGCTTCTTCAAAAGCTGGAGAGAAGAATAATAATTCTATTATGAAAGCTACCAACTGGGACTTTATGAACCATTTGGTTCCAAATAATGTAGTAGGAAGCCACTCTCCCCAGGGCACACTGGACCACAGTCTTTATGGCTTTCGTTTGAAACTGAAGCTTTGCTTTTATGTGTCAATATTACAAGTGGATTTATCAAGAGAGGATTTTCGTGGGCTCCTGAAGGGACTAGCTCTTCTGTATTTATAATTATTTTAATTCTTCTTAGGAAAGGACTTCAAATTCCGAAGCTGCAGGCTCTACAAAATTCTCCTCAATATATTTCATGATGAGCAGCTTAAACCATGGATTTAAAAGAAGCCAGCTTTCTCTTTCACTACTTAGTAATTCTGGATAGCTTCCCTTAACTTTCAGGCTTTGTTTCCTTTGTTGTAAAATGGGACCAATATCACATCACCCATACTCACAGGACTACTATGAGGCTTAACTAGCACCTGAACAGCGCTTCACACATAATACGCGATCAGAAATGCTGTGCCAGGACGAACCATAAACTCCCAGAGAACAGGGTCTGGCATCCCCCAGAGCTCATCAGAGGCACACAAAAATACCTGCGTGGATGCACAATCCACTCCCGTCTCTCCACCCTCTGCGCAGGCTCAGCCGGGCACAGCTGTCGTTACACTCTGGAGCGATGAACACGGCTTTCCTTCCGCGGGGGGCTCCAGCCACTCCGCGGCGTCCCTCAAAGTCACCGTGCCCTCTGTCTCCTTTCCTCATCCCCTTCCTCTCTGCCGGGTCAGGCGGGGACAGAGCGGCGGGGCCGGGGCTGGAGCCTGAGATCCTCGCGCTCACGGCGAGGTCGCGCGCCTGTGCTGC